GGGGGGGGGGGGGGGGGGGGGGGGGGGGGGGGGGGGGGGAGGGGAGGACAGCAGGGGAGGGGCCAGGGGCTAGCCTCCCAGGCCAGGAGCTCGGGGGCCGGGCAGGACGGGCCCATGGGCCAGATGTGGCCCGCGGGCCGTAGTTTGCCCACCTCTGTGCTAATGCTATAGAGCCGGATACCTTCCCAGCGGCAGCCCTGGCTAGGCCAGCCCAGGAGGAAGGGATTCTGCTTGAGACTAGCTCATGGCAGCTCTACCGCAGGGGGAGAGATTCCAGCTCGTCTGGGCTCCTCCCAGCTCTGCTCAGGGGGAGATGACTTGTGGCCAAGGCCAGCTTGGAGCAGCTCCAGCCTATGATTCTCCCAAAAGTCCCGGTTCAAGTCACAGCTGCATGAGCTTGTGCCCCAGGGTGGCTTCTTCCGGGGCCCCTAGACTAGTAGAGGTCGGGGCCGGGAATTGCTCACCCACCACGAGGCCCCTCTGCTGTGGGTTCTGCGGGGATCCGCTGTCTCCCCCTCCCAGTGGGTTTGGGTTGAGGTGCCGTCCCTCTGCAGATGACACAGGGGCCTTGCCTCTCTCATCGCCCCCGAAAGCTGCAGTGTCTCTTTGGGGGCAGCCAAGCCGGCGAGCTGGTGAGGAGCGAGCTGGCTGCAGCTCAGACAATGTAGGTGAAAGGTGGGAGCATGGAGGGAATGGCAGGAGGAGCCTTCCCTGTGGCGGCGGGCGGCCTCTGGCCAGTGAGGCTGCACTCTTGGGGGGCCTGTGGATGCCCCACTGTTCCTTGAGCCCTGGCAAGGGGACATAAGTGGCTCTGCACCTGCTTTTGGCACCTGGGTGTCATTTCCTCCTGGGTGGTGGGTGCTCTCCCACAACCCTGTCCTTCCTCCGCTCGGAAAACAGAGGGCACACGTGGGTAGACCCACTACGAGGTTATATGAAGAGGCACAGTGTAAAGTCCTATGAAGATGATCAGAGATTTATCTACACTCCCACCTTTGGAGCTTGCTGCTCCTGTATTCGGGCGTGTGTGCCAGGCTCCCAGATCCTGCCAGGCTGCAGGGTGAGGGCCCAAATTCAGAGCCCACCCCAGGAGCCCCTTGTGTTGCTGCGTGGGGCGGGAATTCCCTGACGTCGGGTTGGGTTAGGACAGGAGCTGTGTGCGGGGGTGGTGGGGAGCTGCAGCGGATGCTTGTAGTTGGGTAGCAGAGAGGAGTCAGGCCGAGCTTGCTCGGAGTCTGCTCCAAGAGCCCTCTCCCTGCACTGACGTGGCTGGGAGCTGCCAGGGCTGGCGCTCCAGCCTGTCTGCGTGGCCCTGCTCCCTTGGGGCACTCTGTGCTTGCAGGGGTCTGGCTGAATGACCTGGTCCAGGTGGCAGCTCACGAGATCGGCCATGCCCTGGGCCTGTGGCATTCGTGGGACGTCCGCACGCTCATGCACCCAAACGCCACCTACAGCAGGACTTGGCACATCGGCCAGGACGACGTCTGGGCTGTTCAGCGACTGTATGGTAAGGGGGTGCCAGGAAGTGCCAGCACTGATGCGTGCCCAGCACCTAGTTGCCATCTGGCCCTAGAAGAGGGGACTGTCCCCCCGAGGGCTCCCTCTGCTGAGTCACTGTCCTGCACTGAGACAGTGTCCTGCCTCGGCCCAGCTGCATCCAGCCAGCAGCCCAGAATATAGAGCTGCCTCGGGGTCACCTTGGAGTAACCTATGGATGCCCTAGCAATCATGATGGGGGCGGAGTCACTGGGAGGAAAATGAGCAAAGGGCAGTCCAGGCCAAAGGGTGCGATAAAGTGTGTGACAGGCAGTGGAGATCGGATGGGAGCCCCCAGCCCTCAACCGGGGGTTGCACTGGCTGGGACTCTTCCATCCCAAATATCTTGGTTGCTTCTGTGCCAAAGGTCAGCCCCCATGTAGCTGGGCCCCAGGGTGGGAGCTGCAACACTCAGCTCCTCTCGGGGCCCTGCCCTGCGTGCTGTCCCTGCAGGCTGCGTGGACGAGAAGCGGCAGTGTGAGCCTTGGGCCCGGCTGGGATTCTGCACGGGCCGGCGAGCCTTCATGAAGAGGCACTGCCCCAAAATCTGCAACTCCTGCTTCGGTGAGACACCCCCACCCTGCTGCTGCCTGGTGCTATGAGCTACAGAAACCAGCTGCCGACAGGTCCACCGGCCCTGCCCAGCCCCCGCAAAGCAAATGCCACCTAGCACCTCCCGTCCCATGCCCCTCAATCCCCATCAGGCCTCTGCAGTCTGAGGAGAGGCCTGGGGGAGCTGCGAGGCCCCTCCGCGGTTGGCGTCACTGCTCTTTGTCTCTCTTTCAGAGCCCCCTGCTGTCTCCTCCTCCCCCTCTGTGCGTCCCCCCCACATTCACACCAAGTACATCTCCGAAGGGAGAGTCATAACCTTCCGCTGTGGGCTGAATTCCTCCAGGCCACACCTGCAAGTCAGGTGAGCCACTGCCCCCTGCAGCCGGGGGCCCTTCTTGGGTGCAGAGCATTCACTGTCCCCGCAGTAGCCACCAGACCTGCCCCAGGTCTCTCTAGCCCCATAGGGCTGACCTCTGCTGTAACCTCCTTGCCTGGAAGCTGATGTCTTCCGAGGGGGAAGGTCTTTCCCAGTGCAGCTCGCTCTCCTGGAGCTGGTGTCTGTGTGCAGATGCTGCCAGCTATGGAGGGCAGGAAGGAGGGAGGCTACGGCTTTGGAAAGGCAGAGCAGATGGGGTTCACTGGCCGCTGAGCCTCGAAAACCCCTCTAATAAGGAGCAACCAGGGGCCTTGATTCTGACCATGCCTGAATGGCACAAACCTCTCCACCGTGTTCTGTGTATAAAGTCCCTGTCCCTGACTAGCAGGCACAGCGGAGAGATGGAGGGAAGGGAGAAATGGCCTGATCTCTGCTGTGGCTGGGAGTGATCTGGGCAGAGGGAAGGAGGCTGTTAGCAAACCAGGAGCTGCAGGAAAGGCATTAGCACTCGTGGGGTGACGCTGAGTGATGGGTCCGAGGAGGCTGGTGCTAGTTGAGAGCAGCTACCTCGTGTCCCTCTTTCTCTTGCAGCTGGTACAAAGATGGGGCGCTCCTTTCACGCTCTGTTCCCGGCTTCGAGCTGCTGCCGCGCCAGGAGCTGCGCGTTCGTGCCACCGAGTTCAGCGAAGGGCAGTACACGTGCTTGATCCGCCACGCCAGCAGGATCCTCCGGGCGAATTCTTGGCAGATAAAGCTCAAGGCCAGGAGTCCTTCCTCTCACAAGCAACCAGGGCTCCGAAGGGACATGCAGGGAAATGCACGTGCCTGATTGATTCATAGGGCAAGGGATGCATGCACAATTGTGAACATGTGCCTCAGTGCCCCAGGGCCCTGCGTGGGGACAGTATCGTCCCTGTTCTTCACAGCAGACTCATTGCTCGGGTCGCTCATCACTCAGCATCCTGCCCCATCTCTTCTGCTTCCTCCTCATCCTGGTCACTTAAACCAGGGCTGGCCAAACAGCAGAGAGTTCAACGCCAGAACCCTGCTCCTTTCATTGACCCACTCCCAGTGCTGGCAGGAGCTGCTCTGCTCACTATTCCCGGACCAGGGCAGAGATCTCCTGCTGGGAGGAGGTGAGGGTGAGATTATCTGCCTGCTTCCCCAGGCCCTCTTCTTGCTTTCAGTCCTCACCTACCCAGTTAGCTGGTGTCTGTGAGCATGCCCCCTCCCCCCTCCCATGCACCTCAACCCTGTGCTTATATCCTGAGCCACCCTGCTGTAGCCCTGTCAAACCAGGAGCTGAATAAAAATCCAGGTGAGAATCCCAGCTGCCGGCTTCTGCCCTTCTTCCTTTGACTTAGTTGCTCTTTTCAAGTAGTGATCCTGTCATTTCCAGTATCCCCAGGCTGGCCCAGTGCAGCTGGTAGCTCAGTGCCTTAGCTTGGGCAGCCCTTAAGGGTGTGGATGTTAGTTTTCCTGGAATAGATCCTTGCAATTTCCCGCCAAACAAGTTATCTGAACGAAACCACAGCAGAGTGGGCTGCAAACGCTGATTATCCAAAGCTCCCTTGTGATTGGCTGCTCTGGCCCTTGGGCGATGTCTCCACTGTCCACTAAAAGAACAGGAGTACTTGTGGCACCTTAGAGACTAACAAATTTATTAGAGCATAAGCTTTCGTGGGCTACAACCCACTTCTTCGGATGCATATTGAGTGAAACATATCGAGGAGATATATATACACACATACAGAGAGCATGAACAGGTGGGAGTTGTCTTACCAACTCTGAGAGGCCAATTAAGTAAGAGAAAAAAACTTTTGAAGTGATAATCAAGGTAACCCAGTACAGACACTTTGATAAGAAGCAAGTGTGAGAATACTTACAAGGGGAGATAGATTCAATGTTTGTAATGGCTCAGCCATTCCCAATCCCTATTTAGCCCTGAGTTGATTGTGTCTAGTTTGCATATCAATTCCAGCTCAGCAGTCTCTCGTTGGAGTCTGTTTTTGAAGTTTTTCTGTTTTCTGTCCACTAACTCCCTCTGGTGCCCAGCTAGGCCCTGTCACTTAGCAGCTCATAAGGTGAAGAGGGCTGCAGACAGCTACCTTACTGGATAGAAATACACACCGCCTCTCCTTCCAGCATCCTCAGCGAGGATTGGAAGGGAATGAGGGGCTGAAGGAGAAAGTGGTATTTTAACTTCTGGGGGTAAGAAAAACAAACTTTTGAGCTTACACAGAGCTCTTCTTCAGGTCTGGGAAACTCACTCAGAGCTGGTCTGTAGGCTTCCAAATACCAGCGTGATGAGTGCAGTGCAAGCATTGGACTAGACTATTTGAAATCATTGCTATAGCCAGTGAGTTGAAAGTGGCTATTGCGTCAACATCTGCTTCTGAAACAGCTGGGCTTCTGGGGGGAGAGATGGGTTCCAATAGCCCACGGACCCTTTAAAGGAGCAAGAAAGGGGTAGGAAGAATGAATCATCCCTAACTATGTGAAAATAGTTGAGAGGAAGAGATTCTAACCTTCCTGTTGCTTGAACTTTTGTATAGGAATCACTTTTCAGAGTGGAGGAGACTGCATAAACATCACAAACCTGTGCTGAGAGCAAGGAAAAGGGGGTTTCAAAAATGAAATGCAAAATGCGTGTGCCCTACCCTAACTAGTTGTGCTGAGGGGCATCCTCTGGCTCTAGAGGCACCTGTTGGGTACTAAAAGTGTCTTTGCTTTTGAATGCTCCATGATTCCGGAGCGGCAACAGGAACCTGTCACTAATGCACCTGCTATTGCTACTTATTGCTGTCTTAGAAGACAAAAGCAACTCTAGGTCTAGCCCCGATTTGGGCTCCTTGCCTTTAGGCTCCCACCTGCCCCCGTTTTCCTTAGGGAGGTCAGGACGTTAGCTGCAGGGAGTCAGAAACCCAGGTGCTGGAACAATTTGTATAGTAAAAACAATGAAGAGTCCTTGTGGCACCTTAGAGACTAACACATTTATTTGCCCAAATAAATTTGTTAGTCTCTAAGGTGCCACAAGGACTCCTCATTGTTTTTGCTAATCCAGACTAACACGGCTACCACTCTGCAATTTGTATAGTGGGGGTACTGAGAGCCATTGAACCAAACGGTAAATGCTGTGTATGATGGAAACCACTTCAAGCTAAGGGGTGCGGCAGTACCCCTAGTTCCAGCACCTGTGGTCAGAAAACAAACAGCTCCTCTATGTACATCAACGTTTCGGGATGTCTCGAGTGGCTGCTTTGATGCCTGCATGCCTGTATCAGAGGGGTAGCCGTGTTAGTCTGAATCTGTAAAAAGCAACAGAGGGTCCTGTGGCACCTTTGAGACTAACAGAAGTATTGGGAGCATAAGCTTTCGTGGGTAAGAACCTCACTTCTTCAGATGCATGCCTGTGTTACCCTTGGAGTACTTTGCTGTTGTGTCATAAGTTCAGTAACATTAGTTTGGATCCGATGAAGTGGGCTGTAGCCCACGAAAGCTTATGCTCAAATAAATGTGTTAGTCTCTAAGGTGCCAGAAGTACTCCTGTTCTTTTTGCGGATACAGACTAACACGACTGCTACTCTGAAATCTGTCATTAGTTAATATCTTGGGAGGCACCTTTTCTGCTCCCTACTGCAGCCAAATCTCTTGTTCGGGCCTTTGTTATGCTGTCCTTGATTACCGTGTCATCCTCCTCTTTGGCCTCCCTATACTCTCCCCATCAGTCAATACAAAACACTGCCCCTCAACTCATCCTCCCTGCCTGTTGATTTCACAAACGTTTGCGAAATGCCTAGCACATAAGGAAATAAGATACATTAGTCTGTCCCTCTCGTGAGATGGCTGGCGCAGGCTGCCCTATTTCAGTTATTTTTCTGCCTGCCTTCCCTGGCCCCTTTGCCCCGTTCAGGTGCCAGCTCCTAGCGGTGCAATTCTCCTGTGGGTGGCATAAACTCAGGCCCTGAGTTGTGGGGGCCACAGCATGTGTCTGGGCCTGGTGTATGGTATCAGAGTGTTGGGGACCCCCCCCC